GAAGCTTTTTGGGTGAGAAGCGAAATATCTTCAAGGAAAAACAAAGTCCAGTTGCCTTTTGAAAAAAGAACCTTTGGGACAACCATGATCTGGATGCCTCAGGATCTCCATAGAAATAGGAGGGAGGGGCTGATTCCCAGAGGGCAAATAGACAGCAGAGCTTGGAATCTCTGGTAGACAGGAAGAGGGCAAAGTTCCCTCCCCCAGCAATTCATAGAGTATATCTAATTATCTCAGGAGAATTTAATGTTAGAAAATAAAAGATAGAAAGACTTGCACATGGATGAGAGCAGTTGTTGCCAACCAGTGGGCCGGGACCACTGGTGGTCCATAAGAAATTTTGGTGGTCCACAGAGAAATGTCACCCCCAAAACACCCCCCAAAACAATTAATCCAGGTTGCGCGGGAATACAAGGCTGCGCCGCCCACGTGGCCCGTGGGAACACAAGGCTTGCGTCGCTTGCATTGTGAACAACATGAGGTAGTGAGGGGAGGGGGGAAAGGACAGAGGGGAGGAACTTGCCCCACTCGGCCCACGCGCCTTGCCTAGACACAGGGCTGCTTATTTCCGTTTTTTTCTTCTGCTTTTGGCTGCACACAAGGAAAGCAGCAAAAGTCTTTCTTTCTCTCCCCCAAACCAGAAATGAGTCTTTGGGACCCTGCAAGGCATCCTCTCCAAGAGGCTGCGATGGCGCGACAAGTCTCACAAAGACTCATTTCTGGCAGAGTTTGGGGGAGAGAAAGAAAGACTTCTGCTGCTTCTGCTGCTTTCCTTGCATGAAGCCAAAAGAGAGTGTCTGTCTGTCTGTCTGTCTGTCTGTCTCTCTCTCTCTCTCTCTCTCCCTCCCTCCTCTGAGAACGGAGCTGGAGACGGTATCTTGCGATAAAGAATGATCGATCAGTAGGAAAACGGGGTGGGGAATTTTCCTGCAGACTTTTTTGGGCATTTTCCCAGGGTCTCTGATCCATGGGACTTAAAATTATGAGTTTGGTGGTCCCTGAGGTCTAAAAGGTTGGCGACCCCTAGACTGGAGAACAAACAAAAGTATATGATATCATCAAGAGAGTAAAAGAATTGAAATGGAAATAGATTGGTCACCTAGTAAGAAGAATTGGCATGTGGGCCAAGGAAGTCATAGAATGGATCCCACTTGATAAAAAGCATCCATGAAAGAGACCTAAAACAAGATGGATTGACTACATCAGCAAGTATAGTGAGACCAATTGGTCAAAGTCTGGCAAAATTCTATCTATAGATGAACAGCAACAAAGAATTACTCAAAGGTAACTCCACGTGTTATTCTTCCCTCATATTAAATATACTCTATGAATTGCTGGGGGGGAGGAATTGCCTTTGCCTTCCTGATAGCCCAGGTTCAAGACCCAAGCACTGCATGATGGGTTGAGCTTCCGTTCATTGCCCCAGCTCCTGCCAACCTACAAGTTCGAAAGCATACTAATGCAAGTAGATAAATAGGTACCATTTCAATGGGAAATTAACAGCATTTGTGTACCTCGGTGGTCACATGCTGGTCACATGACCCACTGAAGTATTTTCAGATAACTATGCCCCCCTCAGCTAAGAAACGGAAATGAGTACCACCCCCTAGAGTCGAACATGACTGGGCAGGGGAAACCTTTACCTTTTTTTTAAAAAAAATTGATCTTTCTGCCTACCATAAATTCCAAACACTCTGCTATCTCTTTGCTTTCTGGGAAAGAGCACCCCCCTTCTGCAACTCCCGACTACATTCCATCATATGGTATCTTTTCACCATTTGATTACATTTTTTTAAAAAAAAAAAATATGCCTGGTAAAAGGCATTTTCTTAACTCTTACTAGAATTTATGGGAGGTTAATGGGTAATAATTTACAGTAGAAAATCCTATGTCCCAACCTGTCAAACAATGCACCAAAGGGGGAATGTATCATCTGGGAAGGAAGACAACATCTTGAAGCGACTGAGCATTTTTAAGAACACTTTTTTTCAGAAAATGATTTAATTTTCTTGTGCTGGGAATTAGATATCTAAGACAGCTGAGCTGATATAACTGCAAAATTAGCAATGCTTACGCACATGCTCCTAAATTATATTATGATCTGCTCACCACATATGGCAGCTTGTTATCCAAAGATTCTGTGAATTTCTTGTGCCGTTTCTTTCAAAGTGGAAAACAGAATTGGTGGGGGGGGGGGAGGAATCCAATACGTTTCTTAGCATCCATCCCTTGGAATTTAAAGGTATCAAAGAGATCTGTTCATCTCATATTCATCACTGCTCAGCTTGAGAAACATGTTTGAAGATAATAGAAAGATACAAATAGACACTGCTCACCCTGTCACTATGCATCCCAAAAGAAAAACCAAAGAAAGCCCACACAGAAATTAACTGCAAAAACATCACAGCCAATAAGTCTCCTAACTTTTTGGAGAAAATCTAATACCCAGGCATCATTTGATAGCAATAAATCATTCCATCAGCCCAGAGCAGCAACTAAGAAATAAGAAGGTTGGATGTTTCTCTCTATAAAGAAACCATTCACCAGACATGTGTTTTCTCGGAATGTTCTAGAACAGGGGTGTCAAACTCAAGGTGCGGGGGCCGGATCTGGTCCATGGGGTACTTAGACCCTGGAAACAGCGAAGGACCATCCCACGGTGCCTCTGCCAGTGAAAATGGAGCTCAGGAGGGCCACATGCGGTCCTCCCAGCCTCTGTTTTCGACTGCGATAGCCTCCTGCAGCTCAGTGCCAGCAAAAATGGAGCTCTGTTTTCACTGGCAAAGGGCTGCAGGAGGCCGTTGCGACCAAAAATGGGACTCGGGGAGGGGCATGCATGGCCCACCCGAGCTCCATTTTCGCTGGCAGAGGGCTGCAGGAGGCCATCACAGCGGAAAATGGAGCTCAGGAGCCTGTTTTTGCTGGCATAGCACTCAGGCCACCACAGGTGTCCCCAACACCAGTGACATCAAGCTGGCCACACCCACCCCAGCCCCCAGGGTCAAACACAACCCTGATGTGGCCTTCACTTAAATTGAATTTGATACCCCTGTTCTAGAATTTAGATACATAAGTAGACTATCAACTCATAAAACATTCCTATGCCTGTTTTAGTAGTTGCCATTAAAAAGGGGGAGGGGAGGAAATTTGGAAGAGCAGTGCAGCAGTTTGAAAGCGAAAGTACATTCCAACTCTTATCTTTAAAAGTTTGTAACTAAAATACCAAAGCTTTTGCTCACAAATATATTTAATTAGAGAACATGAATGATGAAACCCAGCCTGTGAATGTGCTCAATTGGAGCATCTGGTTTATGAGACACCCAGGGGGGAGGGTGGAAACAGGGTCACAGGGGACTGTAGATTACGCATGCCAGAGTTGGCTTCATACAGGGCAGTGCCAGTATGTCGCCTCGAATAAATCATTTGAAGTTTTTTGAAGTTTGGCTCGAGAATCATGATTTAATTAGAGTGATTGCTCGAATCCTGACATGGACTCTAGACCACTTAAAGGTAGTTCCTCACTTACAACCATTGGTTTAGTGACTGTTCAAACTTACAACAGCACTGAAAAAGTGACTTGTGATTGTTTTTCACATTTATGACCATTGCAGCATCCCCATGGTCACGTCATCAAAATCTAGAAACTTGGCAACTGACTGGTATTTATGATGGTTGCAGTATCCCGTGGTCATCTGATCAGTTTTTGTGACCTTCTGACAAACAAAGTCAATGGGGAAGACAAATTCATTTAACAACCATGTTATTAACTTCACAACTGTGGTGACTCACTTAAAAACTGTGCCAAGGAAGGTCATAAAATATGGCAAAACTCATTTAACTGTCTTGCTTAACAACACGTATTTTGGGCTCAACTGTGGTTGTAAGTCAAGGACTACCTGTAATGTGATTTTGCTTTTTATATACAATGGTCTCAAATTTGATTTTTGAAAGTGGAGGAGGGGGCACATTTGTACCAGTTATTTACCTTAATAGAATTACACTCTTCAGCCTTGGAACTAAAAGACAATTGAGTGAAATAGGAGAAATCTGAAATTGTTAAAATACAATGTGCTAATTAAATCTGGGAGTGGGAGGACTGCCAATTTTGAACATGGTACATCCAGAAGTATGGTTGCAACTCAGCTCACTTCTAATTTGTTGATTATATATCAACAGTAAAAATAGGATCGTTTTAAAGATGTGATTCTTGCCATCAGAAACAAGGGTGTCAAACCCAAGGCCCGCGTGCTTAGATCTGGCCCAGCCTGGAAATAGCAAAGAATGGGTCCACAGTGCCTCCTCTAGCAAAAATGGGCCATCGCCGGCCACACATGCCCCCCTGCAACCAGTTTTGGCCACCACAGTGAGGCAGGAGGCCTTCCAGGACCAAAACGGGGCCTCCGGAGTGCTCCAGGAGGCCGTCCTTGACTCAGAAGGTTATAAAAGGGAGGAAAAGTAAAATATTTCACTTGTCAGGCTTGCAGGATTCTGCTACAATAGCCTATGTCAATGATTTATAGTTCTAGTCTTCCTATGGAGTCAGTTTCTTGATCTGGTCTCTCTCACATAAAGTGAACTAGTAGATCAAGTAAGTATTAAAAAAACAAAATCACAGAAATGTACGCCTCTCTATTTTTATAAGTGTACAAAACCATGTGTGTGGAGGTGCAGTCCCTTGCCACACCCACCATGGCCACACCCACCATGGTCACACCTTCCGCCCTGGCCTTTTGAGGTCAAACACGACCCTGATGTGGCCCTCAATGAAATTGAGTTTGACACTATTTAGACTATTCACATTTCTAGATTGGATCACCCCATTGCTCATTTTTTTCCCTTTAGGCAAATTTCTGGCAACAACAATCATGTAACTGTCATTTACTTAGATCAACCTTTTATTAAGAAAATAGAACACTGTTAGTTCTATTCACTGTGTTCTAAGAAAAAGATATGTTAGCAATATCATAGTTCTGAAAAACTTGAAGGGTGAAAGATGTTACCTTATAGATATCTAGGAATCCACACTGGTGGTCAAATCTGGTGTACAGCTCATTGAGCATACTGATCACTTGCATGGGTGTACACTGGGCACAGACAGCAGTGAAGCCAACAATGTCTGAAAAGAGCATGGTAACGTCATCAAATTTTCTGGCTTGAACTTGCTGCCCTTGCCAAAGCTGCTGAGCTACCTCTTCCGGGAAGATTGAGATAAGAAGATCCACGGTTTTCTTCTTCTCCTCTTCTAGAGCTTGGTGTGTTCGTTCTAAGGTTGCTTTAAGCTTGTCCATCCTCTTCTTCAAGCCATCCTGGGCTTTAGCCTGCTCCCCGACAAGGATGACATCACGGGTAGCATCGTGAATTGGTATGTCTGAAAGGTGGAGGCCTCGACCCATCAGTTCGTCCAGCTTGTCCACACAGGGTGAGCCCAAAAACAAAATACAGTTTGATTCTGGGACGTGGATCATTTGTCCTTTGATTTCCATGACCTGGAATAAAGAGACATTTAATAGCGCAGAATTAGACTCTTAAAGCAAACATTTATTAAAGCAAACATAAGCGACGGTGGTGCAGTGGTTAGAGTGCAGTACTGCAGGCTACTTCTGCTGACTGCCGGCTGCCTGAAATTTGGCAGTTCAAATCCTACCAGGCTCAAGGTTGACTCAGCCTTCCATCCTTCCGAAGTGAGTAAAATGGGGACCCAGATTGTCGGGGGCAATACACTGACTCTGTAAAACCGCTTAGAGAGGGCTGTAAAGCACTGTAAAGCGGTATATAAGTCTAAGTGCTATTGCTATTTAAAGTTATCAAGGCAGCAGTTGTCTTCTTTAATGGCGCATTCTTTCTTTGCATACATTTTTTCATTACTATGAATATGAATTGGATTGTTCAAATGCCTTGCTTATTATACATTCTTTTTGGACTATACATTTATGCATTCATATCTGATCGGATTTGATTTTAGTGTTGCCCAAATCCAGACTGGCTCTGGATGGCTTATAAACCCCCTGCTATGTAATGCTGATAAATATACAAAAAGTATACAACCACAGGAGACAAGAAATTAACTATGCCAACAGAGAAAAAAAAACATAAGGCCAACAGACATCTTCCTTAAGCAAAGCTTGTCAATTAAATTGATACAGTGGTGGGATTCTTGAACGCTTCACACATTGTTTCATACCCAAGCCAAACCTAAGCTATTTGACGTCTGGCTTGGCTCAGGAGCTAGGAAAAAGAAATTTTCTCAGCAACTCTTTATTTTGTTTAAATCACTTAATCTAGCAGTTTCTGCCCTTGCCTGCTAAAAGAAAATATGTGCTGTCAAATAAAGTGATATACGGCAATTTAAAGAAAGTTAAATAAAGCTCAGAGTTTCAACTAAGTAAGGGGGTTATTTTTCAGCCATGACAGGAACCAGGCAAACTATTCTTAATTTTTTCCCCCCAACTGTATTTATTTCTGAAGGTGGTTCTTTTGCCTCTTTGGCCAAAACCAAAGAGAAATTGACTTAAATATGCACGTATTATATTGCAATAGTAATGAATGAACAGCCCTGAGTAAAAAAAAATAGACTTCATTCCAAGAGGCCATGAGTAGCATTTGATATGGCCATGTCCAAAGTTATAATGCATATAAAATTCTTTTTTCTCTTAAGATTGCTTTTTTTTTGTTTTTGGAGAAGCTTTTAGGTATTTATTTGTAACAATGCACAAATAGTTTGACATTTAGGCAAAGCACCCAAAAATATGTTCATTTGCAAAAAAGTACCCAGTACACAAGATGCAGGAAAGTAAAACTCAGACTTAAATGCTTTCCAAGTGTCATTTTCTCAGCAAAGTTGACATTTAAATAAATTTGTATTATCAAAAACATGGGAAAATTGGAAGGTATTTAAGCAGCATGATACTCCTTTCTCTCCAAGCTGATGTCTTGAATTACCAGACTACTTAAAATTATAGAAGTTGTTCTAACATTGTAGGATGAAAAAGTCCATGGACACTGGGGTGCTGATATAACACTGTATTTGCTTATCAAAAGGTCTCCTTTTATTGTCATTTTATTATCATATTATCATTCTACAATACTGAGTGGTGCGGTGGTCTAGAAGTGGAGCTCTCACCTCACAATCAGGAGGCTGTGAGTTCGATCCTAGGCAGAGGCAGATATTTCTCTCTCTGGGCACAATGAGAATATATCTGCTGAATAAAACTCCGCATTGGCGACAGGAAGGGCATCCGGCCAGTAAACACTCAGTTCCATTCAGTTGCCCAGACTCCACCCCGCAAGGGATTATGGGGCCATTAAAAGGAGATGATGATTATCATTCTACAACAACTTTTCTAAAATGTACACATATTTGAAAAGAAGGAGAGACACATGCCAACTGCTATCATTTGTTTGTTTTTATAAGATGCAAGCCAGGAAATTCCAGACTTGCTGTTAATTAAGAGTAATTCACAGTCCTGATTAAGTTGAGGAGAAAAGAAAGCTAAGGGTCACAATGAACCTCAACCTCGGTCCTCCCCAAGAAGAATGCTATAATGAAAACAAGACAAACTTGGCCTCTTCGTTTGGCCAGGAACATGCAGCTTTTCCATTACTTCCTTTTCTTTTCTTGTATCGTTCCTAGAAAAATATCAGCATTTTATATGTGTATATTACCAACAGTTAAGGATTGTTATTAATGAAGCTGATTAAGATTTACAGTGCAGATAATTAACACCAACACTTGAAGTCTAACTTACTGCTGTTTTCCCTCAAATAACAGCTGTAAAGGAACTTAAGAGGTCTCCTTGAACACCATCTAACTGTTTGTTGTCATCTAAGAAGGGAATGGCATTAAATTAATTAAATTTATGAGCAGCAGGTTTAAACAATCGGCTCATTTTTATAAGCATACTTCTTTATATTTAATATGTAAAGACAAAAGGTTTCTGTTTCTTATTCAAGAAAACAAATGTGTTTGGACATTTGGTAACTATGATTCCAGTCTCACAGATAAGATAGACAGGTAGATGACAGATTGTAGACAGACAGACAGACAGATATTTTCCTTCCATTCAATTGTACTCGATTCTCTGACACTGCCTGGACAAAGTCTTGAAATTTTCTTAGCAAGGTTTCTAAGAAGTGATTTGCCATTGCCTCTTTTCTAAAGCTGAGAGAAAGTGACTGGCTCAAGGTCACCCAGATGGCTTTGTGGCTAAAGTGGGATTAGAATTCATAGCCTCTCACTTTGAAGCCTGATGCCTTAACAAAACTACACCAAACTCCATAGAGAAGATAGCCCTTTATAAAAAAGACTTTTTCCTGGAAAGTTGTAGTTTGCTTTCAGTGCCTTTCCCTTGTTCTTTGTGTTTTGCTGTGTGCTACACAAAATCTATTATTACAGTTAATACTTTTAGAATACACACTACTGCAAAGCTCAGCTATCAGAAGAACCATTCGACAAAGGTAGACTGCAGATGTAACCAACAACACAGGACCATAACATTCTAGAGTAGGAAAGGGGCACTTAGGCCACTGAGTCGTATTCTTGCTCAATTCAAGAATCCAAACTGAAATACCCCTGAGAGCCTTACCCCCGTTTGAAAAATGAAGGAGAGTCCATCACCTTGGGATAACTTATTACACCGCGAAACTAACTGTGCTCCTGGAGTGCTCCTTGTAAGATGCAAATAAGAGTGTTGTCAACTCATAAAATATTTCTATGGTCTTTTTAGAGTTGCCAACAGGAAGGGAGCAGGGAAAGGGGTTTGAAAGAGCAGTGTGGCAGCTTGGAAATCAAAAGTGCATTCCATAAATAGTTTTTCAAAGATAGTATCTAGGTGACTGAAATTTCTGCTGTGCAAATATCTAACTGGAGTACATGATTGATGACTCTTGGCTATGGATGTGTCTCATTGGAGAATATGAATTATGATACACGCAGGGGGTGGAGGAAAACTCGGGTCAAGAGTGACAATGAATTATGTGTCTCAGAGTCAGCTTCACCCCAGGCAGACATGTTAACTTCCAATAAATCCTTTGAAGTTTTGGAAGTTTGGCTCGAGACTCATGATTTAATTGGGGTAACTGCTGGAATCCTGACATTTTTTTTATTTAGTAGATTTATTTGATCACACATCTTATATAGCATAACCCTGGATGGCTTACAAAACAATAATAAAATATCAAAAATGATAAAAACCACCCAAAAATCCAAAACCTTCCTATGCTATATACTTCTATGTCAGAAACACCAAAGAGTTCTGTGGTGAAGTGATTAACCTGTGACATTACTGTCCCAGGGGGATACCCAGTTGGGGACTCCTTTCATGTCCCCATTAATGAGCCCACGGAAGTGGTACCTATTTATCTACTTGCATTTGCATGCTTTCAAACTGCTAGGTTGGCAGGACCTGGAGTGAATGCTAGGAGCTCACCGTGTCACACACCAGCACTCGGGCTTCGAACTCGGATTTGCAAATTGTCAACCTAGCATCCTCATCAAGTGAGCCAATGAGCTGCTAATCTTCCTATAACTCAATTGTATTATTGTATGTCCCGTATTCAGAAAAGATAAGAGTAAGATTTTGACTACTTTCAATGTGACACCCTCAGGTATTTCAAGATTGCTATCATCTCTGTTCTCTCCTTCTCAAAGCTAAACATTTCCAATTTAGATTTTTTTAATAAAATGTTTTCTGGGTAAAGCTAGTATGAAATAATAAAATATGCAGACTTTTCTTTTCCTGTGCTACTAATGTTTTTAATAAATATTGATAACATCATAAATATATGAGTATGGATTACTGTAGCATGTTTATGGTGTCACAAACCAGTATCACAAGTTTTGTTTAATATTCAAAATTAAAAAGAGAAGTACTACAGTCTAGGGAATGAAAGTATAAGAATAAAGACCCAGCACGTAATAATAACAATAATGTCCTGGTTTTCTATTAAAAGTACCAGAACAGCTCGTTTCCATGCGTTATAAAATCAACAGCAGAACAAGCACACCATCCATATTTTTTTTCCTCTGCAAAGGAACATATTATATAGCCAGCATTTTGTTTTCCACTTTTGAGCTGGAAATGTAAATGTCTAAATGCTCAGCCTGCTGTTTTTAACCTGCTGCTTTTGGATTTGGTTTTCATCTGGCATTGTTTTGAACTGTTTGTTTTACGACTATTGCTTCTAATTATTTTTTGTAAAGTTTCATTGTTTTTAATCACTTTGTATATTCACAAGCAGAAAAGCAAATCAAAATCAAGCTCTGAAACTCTTAAGATCATGTTGTTTCTAATTATGCCGGAAGGCACATGTTATAGTCTACACCTTCTTGGATTCTTTTGGCTGTCCACGTTATTCAAATGAGCTCCTAAAAAAGGGTTAAAAACCTGTGGGTGGGATCTAGACATAGCTATCCATTTCTTTCCCTGAGTTCAGAATATAGGGAAATAAGAGGAGAATGCAACCCAAAATGCAGTGACTTCTATCAATC